ATGCTCACAGGGTTGGACATGCCAAACTCGGTATTGTATAGTCTCCTGACGAATGCAAAGTTGCCTGCTGGCAACGTTGGGGTGGTGAACTTGTCACCTTATGACGGCTGCTTAGAGACATGCTGCTCCAAGTACCATTTGAAGGATGAGGCCAACTCCGAGAGACGGTTCTTGACTTTGAGTGTGGGGTTTGATATGGAACCCCTGACCTTCTCAGAGAGACTCTTGGGCATCCATTTCATGCAGGACTGAGTCAGAACTGCTGCTTAGAGTACTGTGCCTGTTTCATCCTGATGTAACAATTATCCTACAAAGCCGTTGTCCCAAATGTTATTATGTGTCACTGAAGATCGTTGGTTGAACTGTATGTTTAATATTTGTTGGCAGGAATGGAAAACGGGGAAGGCTGACTTGAACTCCAAGTACAAATATGACCCAGAACCTCCAGAGGATGTTGATGCTGCAAAAGGTATTGACCTCAAGAATTTCCCAATGAAACTTGTTGAAGTGAAGGTCAACACCTTGAAGTTGCAGTCACCATCGTTCACTGAGAAGTATCAGTTCGACCTCCCAAAGCAAGTTCGCTTGTTGTACCACGGCAACCCTGTGTATGGTGCTGAGTGGGCAGCAGCCATCAAAGACTTTGATGCTCGGTTTCTTGATAGCAAAATGACAAGTCCTGTCTCCAAAGGCTAGATAACTCGTCTTACCTCTCCGTGTCAGGTTTAGTGTCGCTGCCAGCATTTCAACTTTAGCGAGCACAGGGCCGGAGCCAAAGGAAGAACCAGAGACTAGCGTGGAAGACATGACATGGACCAACGAGCCAACCAACCTTGACGAACTGAGTTCTGTGTATGCCATCGATTCCAAGTTTGCAGGGCGAGTGGCAGGAACGACTCTCTTTGTGACGCCTTGTGAGCGAAAGGATGGAGTAGAGACATCGTTCTGTCCGCAGCAAACAAAGAAACTCTTTCTGGTGGCTAGGTTGTACATTCGAATCATGTTGTGGGTTATGCTGTATTGAATTGAATTATGGCTTGCCCTGACACTCCGAGATTCAGATGATCTTTTTCTGTTGCCCAGGTGGCCCACATTGGGATTACGATTCCGGAGAACCAATTCTTGATCGCCCATGGCAAGAGTGCCTTCTTGAAGCCAGGGAAAATAGCCAAATTGAAACGTGATGGAGCAGGCTTAGTGTTGCAATTTTGAATGCAGCCAGTGACAACTGTTTTCTGCCAAGTTAACTTACAGCACACACAGTGGTCTGGCAGGATGTAGTGCAAGGGGAGATGCCTCACAGCAGCCATTTTGTTTGTTCAGGGTGTGTAGGGCTCAATCTTTGATCCTGTAGTTGTGAAGATGATGGATTTAAGTTTTGCGATGATGCTTGCGAAAGCTGGTATGGACGAGGACCTTTTCTAGTGAGAGTAATTTATCTTTAAGGCTTTATTAGGACCTGAGTCATGAGCTGTTCGAGTGTTTGACTCATGGAAACTGTGAAGGACCTAGATCGTCTCGCACAGCAAAGTCCAAGTGCATTTCAGACTCCATCGCCCATGCCGAATCATGTCAAGCCGGTCGGAACAACGCCGATTCCAGCCGTGATCTCAGAAATATTCAGTCAGAGATTAAATTACGCTACTAGGGGGACCTGCAACCACTATACTGGCAAACTGCCCCCAGGCCGAGAGGAAGCCAAGTGAGGAGGTGCGCCCATTCCCTCAGCAGGAAGTGGAAGATGCTCATGGGCAGGTGGAGGACGTATCTGCTCTGCTGCTGCAGTGCGACCAGTCCTTGAAGAAGATCTCCAAAGGGGGGAGGGACGACAATCAAGATAAGAAAGACCCAAAGGAGGTGCGGTGGGAACGAACTCCCGACAACCTTGCCTTATTATTACCAAAAAACTTATGGTTGGTAGGGTTATTGTTTCAAGTTTGAAAGCAGGATGAATTCAATTTTATGATTGGAGACTGTATTAGGTCATTAATATTCATTAATGCTTTGAGCCAGGTTCTCAACATACGCCCACATTTCATTTGTCTACCTTTCTCAACCGACACGAGGCTTTCAGGTAGGCAAACCACGATCCTGCAAATTACTTGCAGGTGTTGTGAAAGATGATGTGCACCCAGACCAGCTTTAGTCTTGCACTAGGGCTCTTGCTTTTTGATGCTGCCAGAGTAGGGTAGGGAGGTCTGCGAGCAGTGATTCTTCAAACCCTGAAAGATGAGCCGATCCCTTCTCAATTTCAAACAACCGCGATGGAAGTGTAAGCTCAATTCTGTTCTGTTTTCTTCGGACTCTGGATTGGTTCACTGTCCAGCATGATGTTTGCAGGCAGGAAAGACCAAAGCAAAGAATTCAGATCAGCCGACAAAGAAAGCTGAAGAAGCCAAGAAAGAACCGACGAAGAAGGCAGATTTGAAGACAATTCAGCCAAAGAAGGAGACTGCTGGAAACATGAGTTCATCCAGCAAGTCAAGAAATGAAGCGCAAAGCGCACAGGACAAAAAAGCAGATGTCCCAAAGAGGAAGCGGAAGCAGATTGAGACGTCCGATGCAGAGGACTTGGGCAAAGAGCAGCCAGCAGAACCAACAAAGCCGGCAAGAGAGAGAAAGACATCACTAACTGCAGTCCCGGCGGCACAAAAAGCACAACCAAAGACTGCCGCAGAGACACACATGAGTGAAGCACCAGGACCATTGAAGCGGAGACGGGCAACTGCCAGTGTCCCCGCACAAGTTGCGAAGGAGGAAGATCAGCTCGTCGCTGAAGACCAATCGCCCAATGATGAACAGAAGGCGCAGACTGGCAGGACTGCTGCGACAGGCAGGACTGCTGCAAAGAATCGGGCTGGAAAGCAGACCGCTATTCCTAAAAAGTTTGTCAAGCAACCAGCGAAAGGTGCTTCCGAGAAGCCAGATGCTTCCAAGAAGCCCGATGCATCCAAAGCAGATCAGGGTGATCAGGAGCCTTTGGCATCAAAGGGTCTCCAGGCAGCCATGTTCAAGTTTCTGTCTGAGGAGAAAGGTAGGCTGGCACAGCAGCACCCAGACAAGAAAAAGAGCGAGCTTCACAAAATGGCCGTTGCAGCGCCAGAGACCCAGCGTCAGCATCAGCGTCAAAAGCTAATTGTCAATTTCATTTGAATCAAGCATTGTTTGACGTGTGTTGGTACATATGACGTTGCAAGGTGGAAGGAGCACCCGATCCGCACCCATGCAGCCAGCCAACTCAGCGTTGTTGAGTTGACACGTCGCAGAATGAAGGAGTTTGCGCCAAAAGGGGCTGTGTTCGAATAATTAAGTCTCTCCGAGAATTCTTGGATTGAGCATTGAATCCGTTTTAGAGCTGAGTTTTTTTGAAAACTCACTCAGAGTTTAAAGCAGTAGATCAATGGATTCCGGTTTCAGGGGAATGGGGCCGGAAAAAAGGAAAAAATATGTGAATGTCAATATGTTTAAATGAAGAATGGCATTGCGATGCATTGCGATAGTCAACTTTACCATTGACTCTTTCTAGGTCCGAGTTTCTTTTGGCAGGTGAATCATTAAACAACGTGTGCACGGTGGAATGGAATTCCGACCAGGAGATGGTAGTGCTGGAGGTTGTTGAGGAGGGTGCCAAATCGGGTAAGGACTCGGAACCATCCACCCTGCAAGAGCTCATGGATCAGTTTGCTGAAGAAGGGCTAGAGTACACACTCAACAACCACGAGTGTACTCCGAAGGGTGCTCCAGCCAAGGCGAATGGAGATGATGAAGCAGAACCATCAGATGGCTACGTGATTCAACCCAAGAAGACAAAGGTCTACTTTCAGTACTCTCCTGCCGCAGGAAATCTCAAATGGTCCAATGTAGCCAGCTTGTTTGCGGTAGATGCCACTTGGATGAACGTCCATCAAGAGAATTCCGTCTACAGTATCCCTTTGTCGTGTTTCTTATTTGTGTGTTTCTTTCATTTATATAGTATGGCAATTTATGGGTCTGGTAGGGGTCAGCTATGCTGAAGGAATTGCAGAGCAGCAAAACCATGAAGACGATTTGGCGAGTTGCCATCAATCAAGACGATAGTGAATCTCGGACAATTTGTGCGTAGTTCTTGGACAGTTCTTGTTGTCAACTGAACTACTTTCCTACTGACTGTTTGCACTGATTTTGTTTGTCAAGGAAGTGGCCCCTCGTAGCTCGGACAAAATGGACGGAACGTCATCAAAGAAGCATTTTGTCAAGGCATACTCGTTGAAAGACTATGACTAGGAGTCCTCAGTCAGAACAAGAAAACCAAGGCAAACCATTATATTTTATCCGCCAGCAGCTGGAGATGAGCGAAAACCAATGTGTGAGATTGGTTTAAGTTTTGAGTTTTGACCAGGACGAGGGCACGAGCAGCAACAATTGTTTCATATGCAACAGTATGCACGCTGAGTTGCATGGTTTATCCTTAACTCGCCATGTTTTAAACAAAACACAAGTTAGGTTCTCACCAAATTCAGCCGGATAAAATGTAAATTCGACTTAGACTCGTTGCTGCAGCCTTGCTTTCTTTTCAGTTTCAATTGGGCGCTTCAGAAGGAGCCCATGCATGGCCTCTGAAACAACACAGATGTTTGTTTTCTCATTTGGAATGCTGGAGATAATGTGTGTGTGTGTGTAGGAGGCCTTGTTTAGGGTGCTCCTGCTCAGGAAGCTTGGAAACAAGACAAATCCGACAACATTTCACGGCGGCAAAAAAGAGATCGCTAGAGGGTGGTGTGCGGTGTCCCTAAAGATTCCCTAAAATATCTTCATCTTGAACCTTCCTGTTCATGAGCCACTTATAATGAAATTTGATCTAGTTATAATGAAATCGTCTTACATGATATTGCTGTAATCACCTGTTTGGTTGGGATGTTTTCTCAAACAGGCACATGCTCTACAGAGGCATCAAAAAGCTCATCCCAAGTGCCTGCTTTTGCTGTTTCACCCTCACCTCCACACCCATCCGCTGCGCTGAGGCTACCAGACCCTTTCCGATGGAGCCAGTTCATCCACTTCCGCACCGAGCCGTTTAACGCCCGTGATCGAAGCGGGAACCGTGGACGACGTGGCTGGGCGTGTCAAACACACGGCCCTATATCCGGGGTGTGACACGGGGCTAGGAGAGCAATAGATATATGTTTATATCACTGTATACACTGTGTACATGTATATATATATACTGTATATATATATAATTATATATATGGTACCCCTTATATATACAGAGAGAGGGAGAGAAAAAAAATGATGATCAAGGAGTTCGAGTTGGAAAGAAGTTCGATGTTCTATTTTTTGTTTGGCATTTTTGTGGTTGTTGGCATGTGTGGGAGTGAAATGGCTTGGTGTCAGAGACAGGACCCACTGCAATATCGGGTAAAAGCGAATGAACTTGGATCCTGGATGTGGTTTATGTTCACCGTGAGTGGCCGAACATGGAACCGCAAGTAGGGATTGAGGAGACATGTCTAAGAAACCTGTCTTTGGCTGAGTCATGCTGAACTGCCACTGAGAGCTCGTAAAACACATGCTGTGGTGCAAACCGGTGGGTTTCGGGAAGTTGTTGTTTTCAGGTATGTGCCAAGCGGCTAAGGTCCGAAGGCTGCAACCTTTAGAGCACTTCGGGAACATGTTGGCCGATGTTTGTGAGGCTGGGACTGTTTCTGACAGGGTTTGGGACTGCATGTTATATAGAACTCATATATACGGTGTATATATATATATATATAAATTGGGATGCCTCCCAAAGACCCTTTGGAAGAAGGGAAGTACACCCTAGACCAAAACTCAAACACTCATTAGGTTTGCAACCTGGTCGGGCTCTCCCAGTTCAATGTTGGGTTTTTGGCAAGTCATCTTCCAGGGTCCTCCAATCTCTTCAGGCTTCATGTGGATTTCGTCGGGGGGAGAGATGGGGAGAAGCACCGTTGGTGAGCGGCACCTTCCAGAATTAAATCGCTGATAGAGATTGTGTTGTTCGTGCTTCATGAACTTCCGTGAGTTGATTCTTTTGTTTCACTTGCGTCTTGGTGGTGCTTGGGGGTTGCCTGATCATGCTTTCTTTGTTTCGCCTGGAGGGGTTTCACGGGACTTTTCCCAAACCGCTACACCTGCCTGGGTCACTGGAACATGACGTGGATTTCTGTTTGTCCCTAAATTAAAAAGACCAATGATAAATACATATATATATATATAACATATTACTTCCGCACTGTTTCAAAACATGCAGCCAATTAACTGATCAACATTTGCCAGCACGTTAGATGGAAGACGTCGTCAACTCAAAACCTCTTCCAAAGGACTGGGAAATGCATGGACCACGTAGCGAACGAAACGACCGAACTGGTCCCTTCCCACAGGAGAGCACGGCGAGTAGTCTCTGCAGCATCGGCAGCGAGCCGAGCAATGATTTCAGCATTTATCGCTTTGCTCCTTGGCCTTCCAAGGAAAAAGCCCGCGAACACGATCGTGGATCGGGGGCTTTATTTAGGTCATGGGAGGCTGGATCGTGTGGGCCTGTGTCATTCGGCCAGGGAGTGCATGTTCTTTTGGAGGGGTTTGGACTGGGGTGGTTCGTTCAAGGTGGTTATTAGACGTTGAAGTTGGCCCATTAAGTCTGAGACCCATCAATGGTCTGAAAATTCACGAAAGCTAGCCTTAGCTAGCTGGAGTTGCTCTTGCTTTAGCAAGTTAAGTGACGGGGTGGACGCACCTCAGAAACCTCAAATAATTGATTAAATCAATCTTATGGACCCCCCCCCCCCTGAAAAGTAGAGCCTACCTGTACAGGGTTCCACTCCAACAGCTGATATAGTGTGTCCATGCTTGACTGCTTCAAGGCTCAAAGAGCAAGAGGATAAGACTCTGCGCATAAAAGACACTAGCGGTCTGCACCTCTACCGTGTACGCCCTAGTCACTCTTTCAGTGGTAGCGGAGCAGTGATCCTGGAAGACCCAGGTGAGCTCCTTTCCTAGGCATAGAATTGCTAGTGGGCAAACAGCCATGGATTGGATAGACGACTGGGAAGAGCCTGATGCGGATGTGGCTTATGAGCCAGCAGCCTATGTGAATAGGCATGTGAGAAGAGAACCAGCAGCAATAGCAATGACAACACAGGTCACTACAAAGGTGCCCCCATCTTATGATGGAAAGACTTCATGGTTTTCCTATGAGGATGCCATAGACGATTGGTGTGATATCACCGAGCTGGAAGATGAGAAGAGAGGACCAGCTTTGAGAAACAGATTAGAAGGAGAAGCAGCAGTATACAAACGTGTATTAGACAGAGATTCATTGAAGGCTAATGAGCCACCAGGAGCAGGAGTAGATTACTTCAAACGAGTACTACGACCATATTTCGTGAAAGGATCAACCAATGTATTCCTATACAGGTTTATGCAATTCGTGCGATTCAATCGAGGATCAGCCGACATGATGAAATGGATGACAAGATTCCAGATTTTACTCCAAAGGCTTATGAGCAGTTGGATGGACATGTTAGAACCAGTCACTCAAGCACATCCCCAAGTCCTTGCTCAGATGCAGGCAGATGCAGCGTTGACTGGAGTAGCACCAACGGCAGAAAGGATTCAGGAAATCATGCAGAATGTCAATGGCAATATGAGAATTCTTCATCAGAATGATTTTCCTTTAGGAGAGAATCTCATTGCCCTACTCATGCTGTCCCTTGCAGATTTGTCTCAGGACCAGCGAAACACTTTGACTTCGTTGATGACTCATCGTGGCAGGTACCTGCAGCAATACACTACAACAGAGCTGAGGACAGTTTTCATCGAGATGTTCTGCACGACAAAGACTTCAGTAGACAATCCTTTGATGCAGCCGACAGGTGCTGGAGGTAGAAGATCATTTCTCGTACTAGACGAAGGAGAACTCGATGGTACATTTGGCTATTGGGCCGAAGATGAAGAAGATGGAACAGAAGGATTTTTAGATGCCCTGGACGATGTCTTTTGGGTATATGATGATCAAAACTTCTCATGGTTCCAAAGGAGATTCCAAGGAAGAAGAGCCAGAAAAGGCAAAGGAAAAGGTAGAAGAAAAGGAAAAGGAAAAGGAAGATCAGGCCGTAGATTCTTCAGACCTCGTGGAAAAGGAAAAGGAAAGAGACGAGGTAAAGGCCATTTTGCTGATGAGCAACAGACAACTTATCCAGATGAGTACTTTGAAGAGAATCCTTATGAGGACACTTGGGAGTCAACCCAAGGAGCATATGATGCCATTCTTGCCGAGGATATGAATGACTATCTTCAAGGAGAATATGATGATGCCAATGACTTTTGGCAACAGCTTGAAGAAGCATGGTTTTCCCACAAAGGAAAAGGAAAAGGCAAGAGAAAAGGCAAGAAAGGAAAAGGAAAAGATAAAGGAGATGGCAAACAAGATGCAAACTATGCAAATCAACAACAGCCACGTTCTTTACCTGCACCTTCAAGAACTTCACAAGCATCAGGAGGTCAACAAGGTTTCTTTGCACATTGTGTGACAGCAGCAGCTGAAGTCCATGACAGTGAGGTGGACTTGCTGTCAGGCATGATGACCTCATGCCAAGATGAAGCTGACTGCGTGGTCAACAATGGTGAGACGATCTTCGATGACATGAGTGCCCCTGTGAGGTACTCTTTGTCAAAGGAGATGCTCACAAAGGCTCCTGATGGCTTTGCGCTTATGAGCGCTGATGGCTTTGCGCTTATGAGCGCTGAGGAAGAAGTGAAGGAGATGCAGGCTATTTCATTTTTGACTGAGAATCGCTTCCCGCCAACTATTGCAATCCTGGACATTGGATGCACTAGAGCTATGGGATCAAGGCGAGCAGTCGACCATTTTTGCAACTATGTCGACAATCACCCAGATTGTGGATTATGGTACTCTTTTGAGTCTACCAAGAGCAAGTTTTACTTTGCCAATTCCCAGAAGGCTACTTGCTCTCAGAAACTGGTGATTTATATGTATGATCGTGCATGGACGATCCACCATACAGAGTTCGACATAGTGGAAGAAGGAGAAGTCCCTTTGCTTATGAGCTTGCCACAGATGAGGAACTTAGGCTTTGAACTCAGGCTGACACCTCAACATGCTTATCTGACATCGGTGCCTCTTGCTATCAAATTTTTGGAATTGAAGGTTGCAGCCACTACTCATCTTGTGTTGGACTTCCAAGATATTGCATGGTATCTGTCTGACGTGCGTTGGCAGACTCAGCGTGAGAAGAGTTTTTACTCTCACCTCACTCACTATGAATATGGCCATATTTCTGTTGAACACAATAGTGATGAAGGTGAAGCTGAGCATGCATATCCTGTGGTTGATTTCTGGGAAGTAGATGTTCACAAGAGAGAACTGATACGTCACCACAAGGATTACAGGAAAATTCTTTTCCCAGCAACTAAGTCCTGTCCTGTAGACACTGATTTGCTGGAAGACTTGCGACTGACAATCATCAAGAAGAAAGCAGGAGGAGAAGAAATCAAGAAGACAGATGATTGGCGCAAGGCAAAATGGAAGGACCTACAACTTGGCTATGAATGGCGTGGTAGAACAATTTTTAAATTTAAGCCAGATGCCAAAATTCCAGATCTAAAGATCAGGAAGGCTGGCATTGAGCACCGTGGCATTGGTGATCCCGATGCAGTGGTGCGCTCCTCCTCAGAGAAGGTTCCCATTGCAAAGGACAGGGAACCAGGCTTCTCGTCAGAGAAGGAAGGTGCACCCTCCAGTGCCGCGGAAAAGCCCGTGCCGCCAAAGTTCCGGTATACTTCCAAGGGTTTTGATCCATTTTGGAAAGGACACAAGTCAAAACCATCTGAGCCTCAGAATGATTTAAAGGGTGATGATCTTGAGGAGTATGTTCCCTCAGAACCACCTGAGAGGCCAGAAGGTGAACTTGTAGAAATTCCTAAAGCATCAAAAGGACCATCAAGTGATAAACATGAACCACTTGAACCAGGTGATGGCGCTCTTGAGCCTAGGCGGATTTCAATCCCATTACCTGGTAGTGAAGTTGTTGCAATGACACCGGCATATAGGAAGATGTTACAGAGACTGGAGGACAAGGTAGAGCTTTATAAGCTTCATGTGAAGCGCTACCATATGAGTCCTACTCAGTTTCGTAGACGTGTTTCTATGTTGAAGCTTCCTGACTCTGTTTTAGAGAAGTATGAATCAGTTGTCAGGAACTGCCGTGTTTGTAACACTTCAGTGGCACCTCCGCCGCGAGCCAGAGTCTCCGGTATTAGAGCTTCATGTTTTGGTGATGTTGTTTTTGCTGATCATTGTGAGGTTGAACTTCACAAGAACAAGTATATCATCTTACTTGTTCTTGATGGTGCCACAAATCTTCTCTGGGCTACGGCACAGAAAGACCTCATAGATCAAACCACCATCCAAGCATTGAGGCAATGGTCTGATGAGAACAATTGTGTTCCGAAGGCCATCGTAGGAGACGAAGCCTTTTTCACAGATGCTTTTGTTGAATACTACAGGTTCCATGGTATACAACAATGTCCTTGTGGGCCAAGAACTCCTTGGCCGAACCGAGCAGAGACAGCTGTACGTTTGTTCAAACGTATGTGGCATGTTATGAAGATAGATCTGGATGACCCACGTTTTCGTGGTGTTACGGTCAGAGAAGTGGTCAAGAAGGTAGTGTGGGCAAGAAATTGTCAGTTGACTATCAGTGGATATTCACCAATAGAGATAGCAACTGGAAGGCGTCCACCAGATCTTTTTGACCTTGAGACCGCAAGCCCTGAGCAATTATCAGCTAATGCCGCCGCACAAGATCGTACAAATTTGGAACTACAACGTGTGGCTTTGAGAGCTCATCAAGAAGCACGACAAGCTCAGGACCTTCGAGCAGATCTTGCAAGAAGGACTATGCCAAGTGACGGTCCTTATTTCCAAGGAGAGAAGGTTTTTGTTTGGACTCAGGATTCATCAAAGTTCAAGGATAAAGGACGTTGGGTTCGTGCCACAGTACTTGGACAAGAAGGAGCTATGGTCCAAGCCAACACTGGTAAGGCAGTGGTACGTGTGAATCAGTCGAAGGTTAGACGTGATCACGATGAGTGGCATGATGTTTCCATACCGGCATTAGACGATGAGAATCCGGAGAACTTACGTGAAGATCACGAACTGTATGTTGATGCCGAATTTGGAGAACAGTCCTTTTTCTTCTGTAATGATGATCATCCTGATGTTGTTGAGTTACTTCATGGAAACAGTGGATTATCTTGGTTCCTTTCAAAGAATGGTGTTAAAGTTGCATATCCTATGGACTTCAAGGCAGGATACAACTTTTCCACTATGAAGGGTCAAGATGGTATTTGGCAGCAACTGGAGAGATTGCAGCCCCACTGTATAGTGATCAACAACCCTTCTCCCAAACAGAACAGAGCTTCTATTTGG